TTTCTCGCGGCAGTGACGCTCGGTGATAGGTTTGTCTGAAAATCTGTCGTGCACCTCGGTGACGCCAGCGAGTGTCTCCGCGTGAAAGCAGTTTAAGAACCCCGGGCAGCTAGGAGCACGAATGCAGCGACACAATGAGAGTTTTTTGTGGACTACACCTTGGTACAGCAAGCTAGTGACGTACAGCGAGATTGAGTCGTGTAGTGCACCGTCAGAGAACCAAAGTGATGACGCCAGCGACGAGAAATTGGACTTCCGGTTTTTTCATCTGGTTACTGCGACCCAGCCAAGTCACTGTTTACATCTCCCGGCGGTGACGACTCATAAAGAACTTCGGCGTTATGTGAAAGCATTGGCGATTTAGCAATTCTTGAATTTTTCCTCTGTACTATAAGAAGACGTTGCAAATTGTAAATAAATCAGTTGATGTAAAAGGCGTGATCATACTTAATACTCATTTTTCAATTTGCTTTCGCTGGGGTCAGTTTTTTAGTGAGTATTTGAATATTAAAAAAATACTGCATACGAAATGACTTCATTATTTCATCAGATGATTTGAGATACTTAATGGATTCAATCAGCACACGAATAATTGTAATATTATCATTCTTGAGATCTTACTGATTAAAAAGATATCATAAAATGATCGAGTTCTAAGAACCTTCGTCAGTCACGACCAACATGTTCGATTTTCTTCAAATTTGACATGTTCCTAGAAGTCGTTGGTGTCAAGGTTTTTATTTTTTGATAACGCTTCAAGATGGCAGTTTAATTGGTTCCGTTTCAAGTATTATCCATATTTTTCAAAAGACTCTAGAAACATTTCGTTTGTTTGCCAGCGAATTCGTTTGCTATCCAGTTACAGAAAAACGCGATCATTATTTATTTAATGAGATTAAATAATTAATAAAATTAATTTATTTAAAGAGAGCGTCGACGAGCAGATCTTAGAAATAAGTCAAGTTTATTTTAATATTAATAACGGATATAAAATATTTTGAGTGTTAAATGCGGATATATTTATGTTATCTCATGGATTTAATTGACAATTATAAATTAGGGACAATCCAATACAGGGACCAATTAGTGGTTCCTTAAGTGGCGCCTCATTGTCAAGTTAAAGATCTACTCTCATTAAAATAATTATGTGTGCATCATATCCGCTTCACGTCATTCAATGCCCAAGACTTTTCGAATTATCTGCCTTCCATCGATGATGATTGATTGTCCTGTCAGAAAAACCGGGATTTTCGAGAGTTTAACAAAATGAAATCAATATTAATAGTAGTCCGTTGAAATCAGAGGCCACAAAACAAACTTCACGGCCCATCTACTTTGATAAGCAGATGTTTGTCTGACGAACTAAAATGCATTGGTCGGTCAATTGTACAGTCGGTCTATGAGTGTCTACATATTAATAAAGGTTCACACATATAATTATCTCATTACTTAGAGAAGAATCAATGTGAAAAACTCTCAAATATTAAACTTATGTAATTACAATACATGCAAACATATACAATATGAGAATCAAAGGCGTTGTCATAGCCAACTTTTTAAAATTATTATTAAGGGATATAATCCACGGATCGGTGAATTATGAAGAATTACACAATTAGTTAGCCAACGTTTAGAAATTTTTGATTTTTTCATCAGTATTTGAGTAAAAGACAAAAAACAAGGCGTGAAGACAACAAACTAAAATTAACCATCCAAGAAAACATATTTTAAATAAACAAAAAAAAAACAAAATAGTATAATATGTACACACCTAATACAATTTAAGGCCATGCCTCATATCCAGTCTCTAAACCCAACTAACTCCACGTGGAGTTGCTGCAGCACCGTGGGTCCCGCGACAAGCCTGAATCGGCCACAGCCCCAACACAAATGAATGAGAATTGGTCGTAGGGTCAGGACCAGCGCTACAGCCACCCAATGCTACGCCAACCATAAGTTTCCGGCCAGGCAATGTTAAAATAGCAATGTAACCAGAGAATTCAGAACTAGATATATTGACCAATTTTATTTTATTATAATTTTATTTTATTTTATTATAATTTTATTTTATTTTATTATAATTTTATTTTATTATAATTTTATTTTATTATAATTTTATTTTATTATAATTTTATTTTATTTTATTATAATTTTATTTTTATTTATTTATTTATTTATTTATTTATTTATTTATTTATTTATTTATTTATTTATTTATTTAAAGGTCACAACACAGGTATTTTTTGTAGGCAGTAAAAAGTTTTCAAAAATTTAGAGCATGATTGCCTGAAGTGCAGTCCCGCCATAACGTTGCTGCGCGTCATCAAAGTGGTCCGTGAAATCATTGTTTCTGTCAGGGCCTACCTAGCAGATCCGAGAGCTAGATAGAGAGAGAAAGAGCGTGCGCGCGCGCGCGGGCCCGTGGGATGCCGGTTGCTGTTCCTGCGCGCGGGTCGGCGCAGGCAACGCTTGGGGCGCGGGTTCCATGAAGCGCGAGAGCGTGCGGGCCACCCACGCCGCCACCTCCTCGCCACGCCTACCGCCCGCGCGCCCCAAGGAATCGCGCGAGGCTCTGCTGCCAGCTGATGCTTCTTGCTCGACTGCTGTCGCTCGCGGCGGATCCATTCCGTTCGCAGCTCTTTGGTTTGGGCTCAGAGCTCCGACGAATGGCACGGGTTTCGCTCTGCCTAAAGGAATGTTTCTACCTAATATCTAAGAATCTTAGAGGAAGTCTCAGTCCGAGCAACGTTTGCAACGTCGGACCAAAGAGTGGCAGGGCAGGTACAGCCAGCCTAATGTGGATATAGTGAGGTCGGTTGTAGTGAACATTCGGTTATAGTGAGTGCACTGAAGCAACAACACTGCCTCTGAAGAGATTCTGCAGTTTCTCCGATCAATACCAAGAGAATGTCGCAGCAGTACCTTAACAATCGGGCCACGGTCCGTACACGATCTGTCCTTCCTATTCCGCGTTCTTATCGTTTCTCTCCCTCTCCCTCTCTCTCTCTCCCTCTCTCTCTCCCTCTCTCTCTCCCTCTCTCTCTCCCTCTCTCTCTCCCTCTCTCTCCCTCTCACACATGCAGACACTTACATACAATACATTACCACACATGTCAGAAGACCAGTCGGGAGATTAAATCTTGTTCCGCCGGCGGTGCCTCCCTGGGGAGGTAGAAACCTTTGTAAACTGACGCGTGACTGATTGACTGGAGGATCTCACTCAACAGTGGGGAAAGAACACAGCCACCTCCAGAAGGGGAAAAAAACCCTACACAGACGGGGCTAATAATCATTGAAGTTGACGTTCCCTGAAACTTAAATTAATCAACAAATCAATCGTTTGCTAAAACTCATTTGATGCAACTGTTCTTACCGGACCGCGGACTGTTTAATCCTTAACGGACGCAGGTCGTTGAGAGTGGATATTAGTTCCTCTCCGTGGCTTGCGTTAATTTGATATAACTGTACAGTATTACGAAAACCTTTGTAATATATCAGATTTATTAAATACCTATTAGAATTAGATTTGTACCAAAAAATACAAACTAATAACAATATAATTTATTTAGAATAATAATATAAAAACAAACGACACATTTTTGAATGTTTGCATTGATAATTAAAAGGAAATCAAGTGAAACTCATGTAGGAAATTCATGAGTCTTGGAGGCGATTGTTAACTTCAATATTGTTATAACTTATCATTGAATTTGAATGATTTTTGGGCAGAAAACGATAATAATCAAAATACTGTAATGAATACCCTCGAATTCGTCGCCTGGCACTATTGCACCATAATTAGTCCAGAGAGCCATATCCTGGGATAATAAGAATTTTCATACGATGTACTCATGAATATTGTCATTGGGGGCGATCGTTACTAACCGAACCCTGCAACACGCAACTGGATGAGGCAACTAATCATCATTCACTTGGGATCTCTTCGTTGCCGGGCGCTGGCCAAGCCTACGCATCATCGAGAGGGCCAAGGGAGTCATGAAATGTCGCACATGCTCACGCACTCCTTTTTCGGATATCTCACTCCTATATTTCGATTTTTAAAATAGCAAACCATGAATGTGGCATTGTATAGGATGCCATTTTTCGTATATTACTTTACTTCCCGGGAAAACGGAGGAGATCTATACTTAAAATGTCTTTGTTCATGAAACGAAAAAGTCGAATATTGCTGTAAAAAAGTATTAGAATTCTCATAAGTACAGATCGTGAAATTAGAATTAGTTTGAGAAAGACTCAGGAGGGATGAGTCTGGGCGAGAAAGAAGAGATGGTTTCGTAGGCTTCCGCGGCCGGCGTTTATGTTGTCTAGGCTATCTGGGACGAGCCGCGTCACTGACATGGTGGCTAACGCCATGGTGGCCATCATGAGAGAAACGCGGCACGTCCCGGATAGCCTAGACAACGAGAAAAAAGAGTTATTCAAAGAGAGCATTCAAAGAGTTAGAAAGATAAAAACGAGTTGTCTTAAAATTTCTTTAATCCCTGACGAAAATGACCTGATTGTAAGGTTAGGATATGATTACTTAATTAGTTACACAAATGAATTTTAAATGAAAAGATACTTTTAAATGTTAATTTAAATAGGATGTAAACTCCGCACACTGCACGCAACTGCTTTCATACATTTAAGGAAGGAAAGACCATTATGATTCATTATGCAAAGAATGCAAAACACTCTCGATTTTGAAAATTATTTTTCCGGCGATGGCGACCTCATTAGACAGTTTTGCAGTAACTGTTTACACAACTGACGTTGAAGAAACTAATCCGAAGAATGTGATTTAGAGGGAGTGAGTATTGTTTTAGGGCGCGAACTTCAAATATCATTAGTTCCATCACTAATGAATGAAAAAAAAAAAAAGCCCTCCACGCGAATTTCCTCTTCTGGTAAAGAGCGATTTTTATAAGAATGAGCCAAAGTGGCAGTTCGCTAAACAAGTGAACATCACATGTAATTCAAAGAAATATCCCTCCGCCGCGGCAGCTGTTCAGCCGCGCCCCTTCGTAGTGTATACTGCCCCCGTGAAGATATCACTATACAGAAATCTAAGAGTTTCGCTGAGGTTCGCACGTACGGGAAATACTGAAATTAATAACGTATGTGGAAAACTATTTGAACATGCTCTCATATTCAATAAAACAAAACTGCCACGAATGTACATAGAAAGAAAAATTATTTTTCAGGGTACGTTTAAATATCTTTTCTGGTCGTTTCGCAGCGAATGGCTCGTGCATTTTTGTAGTGAAGAGGATAGTTTATTTATAATTATAACACCCCGACTATCAATATTTAGTACTACGCTCTCATAACTCAAATGTGACTTAATAATTCTTTTATATGTCACTAATGATCTGCATGTGAATGCATTCCTTAGTCGTGCACAAGGAGGATGCCCCTTGCTCCCACTCTGGCTTCTACTAATCAGAGCAGCTGTTCACAAGAATTCTCTTCCACATAATGGTTGAATTCGACCCAACTGTATAGATATTATCGAAAATTTGCCATCGTGGGGACTCGAACCATAGATCTGTGAGTCAACAAAAATATACAAAGGTGGCGGCTGGTCTATCGCAACGGCTGCCATTTTGGGACCCTATGAACCCAAAGGCAGGGAGGTCATTGGAAAATTCCTGTATGCTACGAGTAATAAAAGTAAATTTAACGACATGTAACAGCCATCGATACCATAAAAACTAGTCTACGAGTTGATTCAACTTTTTTACAGGCTCTTCTTCAGCATTGTCGCAATGAACTAGCAAGGTCTAGTAAAGATTAATACAACACAAACGCGGGAAATAAGTAATTTAAATATTATGTTTGTAGATGCACACGTTAATTATTTTTCGCCAGTCACTAAGAGCAGATTTGTTTATTTATATATTTAGCCAGAGGCTATTAGTGATATTGCAGAAATGGTACTTAATAGATTCGTTAGAGGCTTAAAGCAATGCATAAGATTTTAAAAAAGCTTTAATATAACAGCTATGTACAATATAAAATAAAATTGTAGTATTTAATTAAATTTTGAACCAATTGCGCTTTAAAAGCCTAAACATTGTGTTTTCTCATAAAATTGCAATCGTTTTCCTCTTTCGCAGGGATTTAAATATGGAAAGCTCGAACAACGCGGGTTTTTTCTAGTTAAGCTATATTCCCAACATTCAAGTCGTACATGTAACAGACATCGATACCATAAAACCTAGTCTACGAGTATTTTCAACTTTTACAAGCTCTTCTTCAGGATTGTCGTAGAGAACTGGCAACGTCTACTAAAGATTAATACAACACAAATGCGGAAAATAAGTAATTTAAATATTATGTTTGTAGATGCACCACGTCCATTATTTCTCGCTTGTCTCTAAGAGCAGACTGGTTCTTAATATATTTCGCCAGAGTCTACTAGCGATATTGCAGAACTGGTACCTAATAGATTCACTAGAGGCTAAATTACATATAAACAAATTTATTCATCGTGTTTTTTTTATAAAATTTCAAAATTCTCCTCTTTCTCGTTTTTTTTTTTTTTTTTTTTTTTTTTTTTTTTTTTTTTTTTTTTTTTTTTTTTTTTTTTTTTTTTTTGCGGCTTTTTCTGTCCTCCCCTCACAAGCACTCACCTCCGCAAGGCGACCGGCGAGAGCATGGGCCGTTCGCGCCATCGCCCAGCACACGAGCCACCAGAGCGCCGCGTGGAGGTGCACCAGCGTCCCCACGTACCCGTAGAAGAACACCACGTGCACGTCCGTCATGGCGGGCACCAGGCTGCTCTCGACCGCCACCAGCCCCGTGGCGGCCACGGGAAGGGCCACGGCCAGCAGCCAGGCCCAGCGCTTGAGGCGCAGGCGGAGGGGCTCTCGGCACCACCGCTCCACGGTCCTCTGTGCCCACGCGCACGACAGACGTCGGCTTAATACGAGCTGGAATATACTACATAGAGTGGCGGAAGCGCCTCCATCTTTAAAGCAAATCGAAGCCATGTTTTTTGCAATCAAAGCAGCGCCCTCTGGAAGTATTGCAGAATTACGTTGGGCGCTGGTTACTGACGGTTCCCAGGTTACACCGCCACTCGTATGTTTTGACTTCAAAAAACATGGCGGCCACTAGTTCGGCGAGCCTCCACCTAGAGCGCTGAAACTAACGGGACAGCCACTCTATGTAGTATACTCTAGCTCGTTGACCCAACACTACCTAGATTTTTAAGGCCAAGTAGCCCATTATTTTTAGTATTTCTGACTGGAACAATATGAGTAAATAGCTGACTATTGACTACTCTCGACGCTACCTTGGATTTAGTCGTCAGGCCTTGTGTCTAGGTGGTGTTGATATACCTGAACGCATTGAATCTGGCTACGCGCTCTAGCAACTGAATGCATTTTCTGGGAGGTCCTAGGGTTCTAGTGCCGACGGTGGCATGATTTTCGGCACTAGTTACACAGCTAGGTCGAATTCAACTGCTGTCTGGAAGAAAATTCTAGCGGCCGGCTGCTTTGATCGGTAGTTTCCTGTAGTATTTCTGATAAATACCAGGCGAATGCCGGAGCAGTACCGTAACAAACGGACCACGGACCGCGCGCGATCTTTCCTTCCTCTTCCTTGTCTTATCCTTTACCCTTGCTTACACATATATGCACCACACTACCACACATTTCGGGAGCTTAGAGCTTGTCCCGGCTGGGGAGATGCCGCGAAGGTGGGAGAAACCTAGTTGGGGAAAATGTCCGCAAGCCAACGTAGGTTGGCGCTAGCCAGCTGGAGGGGATAACAGCAATCTCCCGCGAGGAAACATGCACTACACTTACGGGACAACCGACCTTGTGCTTATACGCGCTTGGAGTCATCGAGGCTGACTCACCTGCAGCACGGCCCAGTCGCGCAGGAACTCGGCGAGCGCGCTGGCGCCCACCAGATGCGCGGGCACCAGGGCGAAGTGCGGCAGGGCGTTGATGACAAACATGGCGGCGAACAGCTTCTCGTCGAAGGTCCCGTGGATGCCTTGGAGCAGGCTGCCGCCCGCCACCCACGCCCCCGCCGCGCCCAGCAGCCACCACAGGGCGACTGAGTACGCCACGCGCCACGACACCCAGCGGAAGCGAGGGCCCCGCCCACCCCAGGCGAGCGGCGCGCAGCCCAACACGCGCAGAAGGAACCAGATCGGGCGCAGCTCGGACAGCAGCGGGTCGTCGCAGTCACCAGCCATGCCGCCGGCGCCGCTGCTGACGCTGCGGAAGCTCTAAGCAAAACGCCCAGTAACTAGACAGGCTGTGAGGGAGTAAAGCAAAAAGGCATGGATATGAAATTATGGTCGACTAGAAAATAATTGACCTGGCTGGAGTGGCAGCATTGTCGTAAAACATGCAGAGCACAGCCCGTTGTCGGTCATACTGGCTGACGCTTACTGCGTACCTATCAATCGTTATCGATACGAATTTGGATTTAGGATCGACAAAAATAGTACTTCGGAGCGTTTATTGTTGACTTTTCTGACGAATGAATTTTGAGAGAAATGCCAGAATCACGATCTGATATTATTTTATGTTATTCACTGGTTATAAAAGTGGACTCGAATGTTTTCATAGTAATGGTACTTTGTGAATGATGTGCACTCATAACCTGAAAATTGTAGGTTTATGTTGGTACTTCCACGAAAGAAAATTATACTTGCGTTCTAGACTACAGTAGTATTGAACAGATCAATGATAGCGCAGCATGCATGTTGTTACGGCACTTGGGTTAGTTCTCAAATTCGTCGTTCGCATGTTGGTAGCATTGTCGTAAAACATGTAGAGTGCAGCCCGTTGTCGGTCATACTGGCTGGAGTATACTTATCACAAGGATTTAAAACATATTATTCCTTATGGAAATAAACATTATTAGTTCAAGTATCGGTCGGACCTGTTAGTTTTCTGGTCGACTAATACTTAATGCTCGAAAGTTAACATGTCTTGGTAGCTCTCCATTTACTGCAAGTAGTAATTTAGTGAATGTATTATTTTATACCAAAAGCAATATAAAAAGTAAAGCCATCATCCGCCTTGTTTGGTTCACGACAACATCTGATCGCAACAATTATGCGAAATTTACTCATAGTTTCGAAAAAATGTACATGACTTAATTTCAAGATTTTTCTTCTTACAAAGTAAGGGCTGGCAAGTAAAAATAAACATTTTATTAACATTATTTTGGTTTAAAAAAAGTTAGTAGTCAAAAATGTAAAAATTGAAATAAATAAAACGGTTCATGTGAAAAAAATGTATTTTTTATTACATTACAAATGAAAACAATTAAACTTGTTCCTACTTTGAGTTGCATGTCTCTTAGATTTGTAAGAAATGTTATTTATATTAATTATACATATTTATTGCTTTATCAAAGAAAATATTGAAATTGCATTTGAGAAATGTTTGTTTTGGAAATACGTTCAAATTGATTTGGCTTCAGGAGAATTAAATTCGAGCAGATTTATAATTTTATTATTGTGTATGAATATTTTCTCATTATTAAACTCGACGCTTCTTCTCATGGCAATTAATTGGAAAACAACTAATTGGATTTGCTTTGGCATTTCGGTTCCTTTTTCTTAAAGTATTTTCAAATTATCATGCTCTTTCCGAATAGACAATCCATTAATAAGAGAGTATATATGTTTTTCAAAATCGCAGCGCCTCGAGTGCAGACAGATCGAACGAGGAATATCAATTTTGAAAATAATCCTATCTAGTTCATCCTATCTATCAAATGAGACGTTGCGTCAGAGATAGTCACGAGCCACAAAATGGTAACTTTACAGGAGCGCTGTTACTAACTTTGTCTAGTTTCTAAAATCAGAGGTTTCAAATGAATGCCAAAACTTTTACCTGGGACACGTTCTGGGTCATTTTATTAAACATTTGAGATAGGCAGAATGAAGTATGTGGAATTAATTTCTACGTTCTACCAAAATCATGTAAATACATGAACATGGTCTGAGAGGGGCTTGTAACTTTCTCTTCGAAAAAAAAATACGACTGTTTTCATAGTTAAAAACATTTTTCAAATATATGGAACATAAATGAGTTAATAATTAATACTTTTAAGAACATTAAACAGCCGCCAAACCATTAAAATGAATTGCTTAGATTATGTAAAGTCTTACATCCGTGTTGGGTGAGATATTTCAGTGCGTAGGCGATTGCGTATTCGATAAGATAATATTTTCGTTTCGGGAAATTCGGGAGAGAATTTGCGTTTCCGCAAAACAAATTTTAAAAAATAGTAGCTTTATTAAAATATGGTAATTCTTCAAAATTACTTATTTTAGGCAAAAATATATCAAAATTGGCATCTACCGTCCCTTAAGGTAAAAAATTAAAACTTTAGGTACGCTTGGGAACATTCGTGAACATTTGACCTAAAATCCGAAGTCTACTAATCGTATAGATTGCATATAACACTATCCCTGACAAAAGTTTAAAGAAAAAATTGGAGCCGTTTTCGAGAAAATATTGGTTTTGTTATTTTTAATGTTGCACAGATTGCGCGAAAACTACAAAAATTTTCAAAAAATGTATATGACCTTAATGAAAGGACTAAATAAGGAGAACAAATTTTACTTGTAGAAAAAATCTTTATCATCAACTTTATTGTCGTAGGAAGACTCCAGAAAAAATTCAGACTTTTGAAATTTTCGTAAATTTAGTGTTAACAGTGAAAACATATCTATATCATCTTTATAAATGTATTTTACTCTATTCTAAAAAAAAATAAAATAAAAATTTGCAAGAGTGTAAATATTAGTATTACATGCCAGAAAAATGCCCAAAGAGCCAATACTTCAAAATTCAATTATTGCTAACAATATTTTCAGTGAGTATATTAAAATAAATTCGCCAAATACATAACACATTGAAAGTCCTTCAACCGTGTCAAAGCAGCATATCTGAAGAGAGAAACTAATTCCTTTTTTTTAAATAAAAAATATCTTCAGCCCTATGTAATATTTATTGTGACCCGAAGTTTCACCAATTTTTAAGTGAGGAGGAAGTTATGTTGAACTACGTATGACTTATGCGCGGTGGCATATGCATGTTTAATTCACTCCATACGCTAGAATGTCCCATTCAGTAAAAATGCCACCAAAAAGATATGATCACATGTAGGTAATTGCGCTTCCATGACAAGCTAACCTGTGATTAAAAACGTCATCATCCACGAAGTTCTATCTCGCAACCGGCCTGAAAACAACCCACGCTACCTTCAACAAACTGAAAACTTCTCTAACAAAAACCATTCAAAACTTGTTGAACAGAGCTATCTCTGCAACTTAAACAGACTAATCTTAACACTCATTTCACCGATTTACATATCAATATGTGGTGAACTCTATAGAGAGACTCTATATACATTTATTGGAATAGTAGATGTATGCTCCAGTGAGCGTTTGCATTATTCTCGTATTAAGAATACTAATCAAATGAGAATAAACAAGTGGTTGTATACCAAATACAAACAGAGATATTGCTTATTGCACTGTCTCTCATTATTAAGCATAATTGTCACAAAGATATTTATATTGTAGATGCGGAAACAAAAAATAGTTCATTTAACAAAATTAATTAATTTTAAGAAAAATAGATTTTTACAACTGCACAAGATGTGATTTGGGTACGGACGAAGTACATGCTGGGGAAAAAGAACGGGAAGCTGGGAAGAAAATTAAAATTAAAATGATCACTTTAAAAATTAAACTGCCTCACAAATCCATTCATGAACTCAATCTCCAAATTGTCTTACGAGTCTAGATGGTATAAGTATTTAAAATTTTTGGAAGATACGTTTGTAATGAATTCATATAAATACATATTCTCTTTCACGTGTCCACCATAAGTGAAAGATTCCAAACGTGTCACCAATTCAACGTACTTACATTTTCTGCATTATTCTTTTAATTCCAAGCAAACCGAAGTTAATATGAGTTTGCATATGCTGATAAAATGACTACTGAAATCACTTCAAGTGTAGCGAAAAGTAATTATCACTTATTTATTTACAATTCGCAATGTTCAACAAATCAAACCAATATGTAAAAAGTAGAAAATAAAGATTAAAAAATGTAATGGTTTTGGAAAAAGATTTCTAATTTCCTGGAATATAAAAATTTCATAACGCTTTTTAACTGGCAGCATATGTAAGCATTATGTTCTGTAAATGTGCTGGTTTAAAAAAAATTAGCTTATCTACCAGTTTCTCGCGTCAAATATTTACGATTTATCAGATTACATCAAATATACTCCTTTCTTTAGCTTCCTCTAATAACTCACATTTTCCTCAAATTTTAACAATGTATCAAACGCAAATTTCAGTGATACTTTCATATATATAATAAATATATATATATATATATATCGCGTTGCGAAAAGGATACTTAACAAAATTTATTTCTCGAAATCTGAAAATTATTTCTCCTTAAATGACTTGTGGACTTTATTAGAACCTTGGTGAAAATATTGAGATGCCTTTTTCTGCGTCGGAATTTAATTAAAAAAATCACGAACAATCTGTGATCGTTAGATACAGTAAGAACTTTGAAGCGAGGAGGACTGTTGGTAGAAATAGTAATTCGAGGTTTAAAATTGTGTAAAAAAAGGCGTGTTTCTTGCACATAAGTGAATAAAACTTAGAACTGGTTAATACATTCACAACGAATAATATATACCAAATTTTCTCTTCGTAATCACGTACGTAAAATTGTCATCTCGTAATCATGTAATCACGTAATCACGTAAAATTATACTAATTGTATCGGGAAATTAGTACAGAAAGTGTAACGTATGTTATAACCCAGGAGGTTTCGGAAGTCCGCCCTCGCTGTGATCTCAGATCGGCACCAGGGACTTGCGAGGTCTCCCTGTCCAAGTATTTTCTGAAACATTGTGTGTGTGTGTGTGTGTGTGTGTGTGTGTGTGTGTGTGTGTGTGTACACGTAAAGGACAAGGATGAGGACGAAAAGTCGCTCGCGGTTCGTGGCCCGTTTAATGAGACATTGCTTCAGTATGGTATATTCCACAATCCCCAAGTTTCGTATTTGATACGACAATTGTAATTATTAATAACAACTAATAACAATTAGTTTTGTTTATTTAATCCGTCATGATCTAAGTATTGAAATCATCTTATCGGGAAGGCATTGCTTCACTATTCGCTTAATTGACATCGAGGAAACCACGGAAAATTATCGATCAGGGCAGCCGGTCG